TATAGGGCCTTCTATAATAAACATACATTAGTAAAAAAAATTAGCATTGAGAATCATGAAAGTTGAGGCATTTATACCATGCCATTATGATTTTCATGAGGAAATTCATTTGATAAATCTTATTGAAGAAAATCCCAAACTTGATTTAAGGGAACTGTTACTAAATACTCCAATGGTGGGTATCATCCACCAAGCTAATAGTTTATTTATCATCAATGCCTTTATTTTATCGATAGTGACAAAATAAGTCTTGTAACGATCAATTATTTCAAGAGGGAGAAGTTTGATTTTTAAAGTTAGCAATTGTCAAATAGATTTTGGTGGTTATGTGATGGGCTAAAGACCAAGTTTCATATTATTATAATGCAGGTAATTCTTAAAGAACTACTTCTATATATGAGGTGGGACCTAAATATATGTGATGATGTGTATTATATTGAATTAGTTTAAGGGAGTTCAGTTTGAATTTCATTTGCTTTTAATGTTGGGTGAGATTATGAGAATTGTAAATAAGATGTTCTAGACTAATGGAGATAAAAATTGGGAAGTTATTGTATTTTATTGGATAAATAAAATATTGGATGTTGGAGTAAGTGGTTTAAATTTTTGTATTGGACTTGTAATTATTTATTGTTGGTTCTTAAGAGATTGGGAGGAGAGAGGTTTTAGGGTGTGAGGTGGTTGTTGATTTGCAAGTTGGAAAGATTGGTGAGTGGTTATTGCTATTATAAGAAAATGTGGATTCATCAAGATATAATTTCTTGGGATGACAATTTTGATGCTATTTGGATTTAACATTCATAACATTCGTGGGGATTGGAGTAGGAAAGATATTAAGGGAAATAAATATTATATAACTAGCATATGTGAAGATTGGGGTTCTAACCATATGAAACAAGAGCATCCAGAAGTGTAAAAATGGGAGTAATTTGATATTTTATTGTACAAAAGATGGAAAAGGTGATTTAATTTTAGGGTTTTGAGATGATATACAATTTATGAGGTGAAGTGCGGCGAATAAGACATCGACCCAAAAATTTTAAGGAAGGTGCACTTGGAGTAGTAGCGTTAGTGCAACTTCAATGAGGTGTTAGTGTTGTGTTCAGTGACACCATTTTAAGTCGGGATGTACAATGCAGCTATATATATTGGTACTGAAGAGTATCATTATTGGCGAGGAACTTTAGAAGAGCATGCAAATTATATTCCTCTCCACCATTATATTGGAAAATTTTAATATGTTTATTGATTTAGTTTTTCACCATCTTTATGAAGTTAACAATTTTTGCATGGTTACAGATCTTTTTAACATAGAATATAGACAACAAAATTTTGTGTGATTTCCAATAAATGAAATATAAAAACAAAAATCCTAAGCGGGGAAGCCAGTAAAGGGCTCCATAAAGGGCTCCATATGACTAAAATTAAATTTATTTAGATGAATGATTGCATTGATTTTGAGGACCTAATGGAAAGGGATGAGAGTTGGTGTCGTTGTGTCAGTAGTTTGCTAGTTATGAGTGAGAAGTGGATGAGAGTTACTAAAAATTACAACAATTCTAGCATATCAGAATTGCATATTTAGTAAGATGATTGTGGTGACTTTGAGGGTGCACCCTTGGAGACTTGAGTTATTAAGACATCACACTTGATGCAATATGGAGAAGAGTGCCTATGTTTTCTAAAGAATGTGTTGTGATTGTGATTTACAGTTTTCGGTGAATGATTGCATTTTTTTTGTTCAACTGCAATGTTATTTTTTCATTACATAGCAAATCATAGAAATCATTAAGGCTAATGGGGTGTAGCTTTGTATTGATTGAAATTGAAATCTTGGTAGAAAGGAGATAAACCATTTAGGATACAAAAAATTATGTCTTCATGATTAATTTGAGAATCAACGGCGAAGGTGTTGTTGATGATGGTTTTGATCTTATGGAGTTCATTCCTTAGTTAAATGACTCTTAATTTATTGGTGTGTAGTAGACGATGCTTGATTGTTTTCTAAATTAGCACATCATCATCACTACAAGTCGTGTGTGTCATAGTGCCTAGAGAAATCTATGTAACAAAACCAAGATGAAGATTTTGTTATTATCAAATATTTGTTAGAGAAGATTTGGGTAGGCTTGCGTCCATTAGAGCTATAATTAGTGCATATACAACTACTTATGAGAAAAATAGAAGTATAACAAGCCATATTAATCAGAATTTGAAGAAAAATATTAATAGTATGTGACAAAGTGATTGCTTTTTTTATAGTAGGAAGGATAAAAACATTAAAATTAGAATTAGTGCAAAAATATATCCATTCAAGCTTCATCAATATCCAAGCAAATAGTAACATTCAAATCTCTAATGTAAAAGATAGAAGATAACATAACAGTAATTTTAAATGATGTAGAAAAAATATAATATACTGTGAGATGATTATAGTTGAATAAATACAATTGCAAATCTCTAATGTAAAAGATAGAAGATAACATAACAATAATTTTAAATGATGTAGAAAAAATATAATATACCGTGAGATGATTATAGTTGAATAAATACAATTGCAGTTTTAAAATTACTTAAACATAGATAATGATAAACATTTAGCTGATATTAAGCCCAAATAAAAAAAAAAGAGAATTTATATAGGTGAAGTGATTCACACTATTATTATACTAACTATATTAGATGTCAAATTCTAATTAAATTTAATAAGTATAATAATATGGATGATCTAACCTATGAAAATTTTAAGGTAATTAGTGGCAAGTAGAGATAAGATAAAGTCGACATTTATGAATAACTAATTTTTATTATGATCCCTTTCTTTTTTAAAAAACATTCTCTAAAGCGTTTAACTCACACACTCACCTAATGCTCATTCACTTATGAGTACAAATACATAAGAAGAGTAGAAAACTCAAGTGAAAAAAAAACTATTCAATAATTAAATGCTTAGTATTATATAAACCTCAATAAGTATTAAAATAATGACACTAAAATATGTGATCATATCTATAAATTCAAACATATTATGAAATTCTTACTTTTTTACATTATTTCATACTCACCAGCAACATATTTACCATAACTATCATATCTATAATCCTTATCATACCCACCACCAAACATGATAATAAGAAATTCCTACATGAGAGTTGCATAATAAATAACATAATGCCTATAAGCCTAAAATACAACATTATGACATGAAAGATCGCTGAAAAAAAGGTTAAAAATATAATAATACATGTCTTGGATACATATATTAAATTTTATGTTAACAATGATGGTGATACTCAACATTATTATATCCCAAAAGATTAAGAATGATGAAACAACTAACCTTTGAATTAAAAACATATAAAATTTTAAATATTGCTAATAATATATTTAGCATATATCTTTATAACTAGCTTGATGCTAATAATGGATCATTAAGAGAAAGAGTCATAAGATCTTTTAATACTCCAATAAACCATGCATCTAGTTACCCAACATTACGTAATAAATGATGATGTGCTAAGACAATTTAAAATTTGATCGGTGTAATGCTAACTATAAGAGGGTTTCCATATCATAATAGTTGATATTTTTTAGAAAGTAGAATACAATGCCTAAACATCATCTAAATTTTTTTTTAAATTGTTAAGGATATAAGATCCATTACAATTTTAGAAAACCTTAGAAAGAGTTGCTTTTATGATATAAAAGTATAAGTCAAAACGTTGATTATGCTTAAAAGGGTTTTTTTTTATATATTTAAAATGCTTGAATGAAATAAAGAAATATTTTCTTAGCTATATAACCAACTAGCAGCTTGTTAGGTTGATAGAAATCATTATTCAATCTGGCCAATGAAAGAAAATAAAATAAGTTAAAAGGAGATTCTCCCAAGTATTTTAAGATCATAAGTTTTACAAACTTTTTCATCCATTTGTGCATGAACTTTTTCTTTACAAATGTGGATCCATAGATAACAACGTGGTTAATTTATTAAGCCTCTAATTGCATAAGCTAACATTCTCCCTAAAATGATTTGAATTAATGTAAAAGTTTATAGTCTCTCTATTTGTTTTCCTTCTAATCAAGCTTCCCTTCAGATTGTTAATGAATGATCTATCTAATGTTTCAAACTTCAATAGTCTTGTTTAACTTGCGGCTAATTTCTCTTTAGAGGTTGTTCTTCCATCCCTTTTACTTATTTAGGATAGTGAATTTATTATTTCATTATTGATCACATAGATCTGAATAAGAATTATTCAAAGCTTGATATCACATATACTCAACCAACTTCTCATTATATTTGTAATAAGGTTAATTATAAAGAAGATTACTCTATAAATACTTATGAGAATTTCAAGGAACCTACATTTAAAATGTGAGAGAAAGAAGAAGAAAGATTATGAAAAGCATTCTCACATCATAATCACTTTTATTTGATACCTAAATAATAATAAACCTTTTGAACTAGAAATTAACAACGAATAACTTCTCATTTTTGTGTAAACTTTTTTAACTTTTGTATCTAAGTTATATCTATATTTATGTTATTTATTCTTATTTTTATAATAGTAAATTTTTTTTTTAAATTTTTGTTTGATTTGATTCTTTTTTTTACATAGACAACTTCTCGTATATTTTAGGGAGTCAAGCTTCTTTGTAAATTTCTTTATTAATAAAATTTAGCTTTTGCCTAAAATGTTGAACACTATTATTAATGCATTGTGATGAAAAACATATAGTAATTTATATTAGAAGGAAAAAAGAAAATAATTCAAAAAATCAAGAAAATATTAATTTAAATAAAGCATGTTATCTGCATTATTATGAAACAAAATTACATTAATAAAACTATCTAATTTTATTTTTTTCATCCTCTTTCACATAAGTTTTAACTTTTCTCAAGTATAATAGTTCACAAAACATTCATATATCTCATTTCAAAATTCACAACAACAAATATAAACAAGAGGTAACACTCTTAGCAGTTCTAAATCCATGAATTCAAACAACACAAAAGTCATTAAAAAATTAAAAATCCTCAAGCTTTTTAAAAAAGAAGGCTCTATCAACGACACTTATGAGTGTCTCACTCTCCCCAAAACACCACAATTCAGTTGATTCATTATCCATAGCACAAAGATTCAAATCCAGACAAAGATATGAATCATTCTCCTTCTCACTTACCTCCTCTGCTTTTCCTTCTTCTCTCTCAATTTTCTGCTTTATAGGGGGAGAGCAATCTCTTGATCTTGAATCAAAAGCTTCACAACTTAATATGATAATAGCATCTTTGATCGCTACTTCTCCACCTTCTAAGCTCCAAAAGCTTCCTCTCTCTATAGCACTTTTGATAGCAACTTGAGATTGAAAATCCACTTGCTCTATATCTTCCACCAAGAAGACTCGATGAGGATTCTCTTTCATGGCTTGTACAAGTTTCTCAAGGAAACCTTGGCTAGCTTCTAACCTAGACCTCTTGTTCCTAGCATCATCAGTTGAATCAGACTTAGTTGACGAGGAGTTACTAAGTCCTACTGCAAAAAATCTCATTTGGTAACCAAAAATTAAGCTTGCAAGCTCCCTAGCAATCTTCTCTTTACCTTCTGTGTCACCTCCTTGGAAGAACAACCAAGTGTCTTCTTTGTCCTTGCTCTTCATACCTGCTCTACACTGTAGTATTATGCTGGCTATTTCAGGGATTATTGTCTTCTGCCATGGAACTTTTCTCTCCAAAGCATTGCATAGAATTTTTAGATTCTCTGCATTTAATTCTTTGAACTTGTATTGATGCTCCAAATCTATGGTATTAGCCGTAGAAATTAAATTAGGGTTAAGAGAAGAAGAGTTGGAAACAGGAAAAGGAAATGCTCGAGAGCTATTATTGAATTCTCTATTGATGCCTTCAAATAACCATAGTTGGTTTTGCTTCCATTGATGATGGCTTTGATTCAAGCTTATTGTTGTGTTATGATGATTGTAGGAAGATATGGAAGAAGAAGGAGAAATTGAAGAAAAATGTAGTGTAATTTCTGATGTGTGGCTTTGAACTCTATTGATTGAGTTGAGATAATCCTGCACAATAAAAATCAAATAAAATAAAATTCATACTCTTATAGCCTTTCTTATCCAATTAAAAAATTCATGCATTATTTAAAGGTTTTAAAATTAGTTACCAGATCTTTAGTATCTTTCTTGTTATTTTCCTTATAATGTTGTAGCCATGAAGGTAAGGTCGAGGCAGTCGAAGCTTGAGCATCTTTCTCAAATTTTATAGGGAAATTAGTGCAACAATTGAGATGATTCACAACTGCATTTTCTAGAATAGGCCAAGCTCCACTTGTACTGCTTTTGTTCAGACTTTCTGTATCACTGTAATAAAGGAAGAGTAGAAAATTCCTCATTTGCTCAATCTGCTTTCTTTCTTTAGCAATTTTAAAATTTAATTTTAAGTTTTTTTGTATAAAAAGAATACATAATTATAAGCATAGAAGTATGTGTACATTTATTAATCAAATAATTATACAAAAATATTTTCTTCTTCATACTAAAATATGAAAGGAAGGGTCAAAAAAGAACTCAGAAAGTAAAAAAGAAAAAATAAAGAGAGTTGGATCATAAACTTTTCCACATTAAATAAGTGATGCTAACTTTCTTTATAGATTCAGAGCAAGTTAGCACATCTAGCAAGCAAGTGCATAGATTTCAACACTATCATTTGAACCAAAATCTAACACTTCCAGTCACATGAATTGGAGAACCTTAAATACATAACCATATATATAAATCAAAATTACCATGAAAAATATAGACAGAGATTATGAAAATTACCAATTATGGCAATTGAGACTCAGCTCTAAGCTTCCAACAGGAATAGCAAGAGGTTGCAATCCCCATACAATCTCCAGCGAAGGATTTCCCATCTTGCATTTCATGTAAGTTTGATAAGTAGAAATTCCCATTAACCAAAACCTTCCTCCTCCTTTTATACCTCCATCTTCCCCTCCATTAATACCAGAGAAAACCAACCTTCCTATCTCCATAATCACATGCTCCACAGGACAATAAAATGCTCCACTGGCCTCATAACAATTAGCTCTAAACTCTGCAACCCACTTTATATCCTCCAAGTAAAGCACAACACCTTTCCCCACACAACAATTCTTCATCAATAAACACTTTAGCTCACTTATCTTCTGCTCCACCTCTCTTTTAGACATCCCACTAAAGGACAATAGTGGAAGTGTTATGAATTGCAAGTTTCTCATAATCTCAGGCACTTGTCCTTTATCAACTCTTTCCATTAATCCCTTCATAACACCTTCAATACTACCCAAACACTCCCCAACTACAACTATGCTCCTTTTCTTGCTACTTATGAGGCATTCAATCAAGCATGCTATGTCCTCATCAGTCTTTTCCGGAGTGTTTCTCTTAGGGTCAGGGTTAATATTAGAATTAGGCTCTAAAGAGATGGCATGCTCAACGTTGGACTTTACCTGAGTGCTCGAGAAGCCAGCCTCGCGCATGACTCGGCTAACGCTGGGATCATCTAAGATGGAAACGATGAGTTGTTCGAGCTCAATCTTGACGGAGAGGAGTGGTTGCTGCTGGTTTTCAATAGAACCGCGACGTTGGTGAGCTTGGGCACGTTTGAAGGCTGCGATGAGAGCGTTGGATAGGGAAGGAGGGTGTTGAGGGGGGAGGAGTGGAGAGGAGGAAGAGGCGGCGGGGAGACGGTTGAGGGCAACATTAAAGCATAACTCAAGGGCTTTGCATTGAAGAGGATGGGAGTGGGATTGAAGGCAGGCAGAGCGAAGGAGGCCGGTGGAGGAGGAGAGCATGGTGTTGGCGACGTGGAGAGGGGTGACTTGAGCGTGGCCGCGGCGACGGGCGAGGCTTATGGCTTGCTTGACGATGGCGGCGGCATCAGGCGTGAGGGATTGGTGGATGGAGCAACCACCAGCTCTCATGTTCTTAGTCTGAAGGTAGTAAGTGGGAGAGGAAGAGGAAGAGGGAGAGGGAGAAAAATCGTTGCGTTGCTTTTCAAGTGTGGAGGGGTTGGTGGTCTGGATTATCAGAGTGAGGTTGTGAGGGAAGGAAAGAGGAGTGAAGGGGTGTGGATGTATTTTGAGGGAGTGGAAGGCTGCTTTTTGGTGTAGTTTGCTTTATAAGGGGGAGGCTGGTGAGGAGTGTTCTTTTCTTGCATGGGAGGTTAAATCAATGGTCCAGACTCCATTTTTTTCTTGCAATAGAAAGTGGAATGCATGTGCTGACAAATAGGATCAACGGACCCGCAGCTTTGCTAAGCTCCTTCGTTCTCCACATATCTCTCTCTCTCTATATATATGTATATATATATTCATGTGACAAAAATTCGATGCACTGACACAATGATATCTGATGTAAATATAAAATTTGGTTTGAGGTTGGAAGTGTTCCAAGTGTTGATCTAGCACTTATAAATTGATGATTTGTCATCAAAAGAGAGCTTATAAATCATGAGTCTAATTTTTTAGTGTGTGTGTTTATGTATGTATATCAAAAATATATCATCATGAATCTTAACGAAAACTGACGGTAACAACAGTGTCTGGCGGCAGAATTTACCGACCGATTATTTTCCATACTGACGAAGTCAAAAAAATCCATCCAACGAATCAGGAGCCGATCGACAGCCATGAACTTTGAATCCTTTCCTCGTCATATCAACCTGATTGACCGGCTTATCTAAAGCACAAACCGATCAACAGGCTCCACCTACTCGAAAGAACTCACCAACGAGGATATTCATCAACAGGCTCCACCTACTCGAAAGAACTCACCAACGAGGATATTCATCTCATATATGAAAAATACTAAATTAATTAGCCCTTACTATCTTATATAAAATAATGACATAAATGTAATCTCACTTCTTTACCCTCTGTGTCTATACGCAGGGGGCGTCATTTATCGAATAAAGATTACACATTCATATCGTTCATCGTTGTGCTCTCACTATTCTTCCCTTTCCTATAACGCTCTATTCCTCTGGAGTACATGTCTTCCAGATAATTTTGCATTCAGCAGTGTGTATATATATATATATATATTATATATATAGAATACATTCATGCTAAAAAAACTTCCATATAACCTGGTAAGACTGGTCATCTCTTCACTGAATTGCTTGTTGTTAACACTTCTTTGGCTTTCTGCCCATCTTTTCTTTAGTAAAGATAGTGCTTTATGCTCCACTTTGTCTTATTATCTCTAAAAGTGAAACAAGAAGATAACATAAATCATCATCACATAGGAATGTTATGCCAAGGAAATATTATTGAAAATGTTCTAGATAGATGACTAGCTCTTGTAATGTTAGCATATCACTCAATGAAACACATAATTTATTTGAAGAAGATTGGATAAACAATTTGCTAAATTTGTTAATTGCTATTGATCAAAAGCTACAACATAAAATCTAAGAAAATATATAATTTTCATGCATATAATTTCCCAGCAAAATATGGAAGAATCTGTAAAACAAATGGTTCATTGCAAAGATCAAACTTTTAATTAAAAACCACTAAAATTAACATAAAAATCTTAATTTTACGGCTAAAAAGAATCAAGAATTGATCTTTGCACCAAAACAAACCCATAATTACATTTTCTAAAACTTATTTGCAGCAAAAATCTGATCTTTTCAGCAACCAAACTGCTTCGTTGGCAGAGATCAGTACTCAAACGCTTGTAGCTTTATCTGCATTTCCTCTTCTATGAGCAAGAAATTGTTCAGAAATTCGTGCAGCAAAAACATAAAAATTAAATTTTTTTTTTTTTTTTCAAAAATACCTTTTATATGCTTCTCTTTTCAAACAAGTTTCAGTCACAGTCAAAAGTCTTGATCCCCAGATGGTCCAAAAGATACCTAAAGGATCTCTTCTAATAATTAGCATGATAAAAGTACTTGAAATTGCTACAAAAGCTGTGCTTCAAGGCACAGAAATACTGCAAAAGAATTTCAGTAATTAGATCCTCACCCTTCCCTCCTTTCTCATTCCTAACGGTTACCTGCAATTTGAAAGTTCTGTTACACCAAACAACTGAAGCTTCAAGCATAAAAAAACAAAATTTTCTCTTATTTTTTTTATTTTTATGCATTTTAAACCTATAATTTCAGATTATGACATGCTTTAAACTAAAGGCTTTTTTATAAAAGCAAGATTAAAAGCATTAAGTGACATTATCTGATCAAAAGCTCCCCTCATTTAATTATTCCACCAAATTGAGCTTCTTTGATTTGCATGGTTTTATGGGGCCATGTGATCAAAAGCATCACCTTTGCTGACAAGAAATAACCATAAGAGAAAACTTTAATTTCTTAGCCCTTATAATTGAAATTGAGGTAAATTTCTAATTTTTCAAATGTTGTTAATATTTTATAGAAAAGAAACAAAAGGTGATGGAATGGTCTTCGCCTCTCTCCCTCTCTTTCATCTTTTTATAAAGACTTTGAGAAGATCAAAATAAGAAGGAGCATTTACATACACACCAACTAAATCCTTTGTATTTACATATCAACTTCATTTCTTACATTTATTACCTTCAAAATCTTTCATCCCTGGTAAAAATATTATCCTTTTAAATTTTAAAAAGTGAAATACACATTTTCATGCATAGGTAAGGTGACATGTATTTAAAAATTCATGTTTAGATGTTAGAGACACAAATACATTCGAATTAAGTGGTATATATGAACATAAAAGATAGTAAATCACACCAGTATTTAAAAAACCTACGATTGGGGCATTTAAAAGTGCTATCGTGCGGTATACAATACTATTGTTTTGACTCATCTCCTTTCATACAAATGAAATTATTCTTTAATATTTGCTTATAACCGACAAATTATAGATGTCGGTTAATATTTGATTATAATCTATGGATTATCCCATCAAATATAATTAAAAGTAGTCAGAAAATAAAATATTATTGATAAATAACGGTATATGTTGTAGTTATACCGTTATAAATAACTAAAATAAAAAAACATTCATAAAATCATTGGTAATTATAAAAAAATTTTCAACGTGTAAAAAGTTGTCAGGTTTTCCGTTGGATTTCACGCTTTTTTCTATAGAATATAATCCCCTCGATTTGATCACCCTAACGCTAGAGTACTTCACCGGCCCTAGAAGCTTCACCGACCACCCTAATGCTAGAGTACTCTCAGGCCCTATTGTTAATTCTTAGTCATAAATTATACTAATCTCAAATGCCGATTTCCCATGCGCTTGGCCCCATGATGAGAGCCTGCACCATGTGCCTAAATATTCGAAAACCCAGAGCCACTGAGGATTGAACTCGTGACCTGAGGGGACTTACAACGAACCCCGCCAATCAACAGGTCATGGCTTGCGGCGCGCGCACACACACAGACATAGATATATATATATATATATATAAATATAAATTAAGGGTGCAAAAAAGTCGAGCCAAGCATGAGCAACTCTCTGCTTGAGCTTGAGTTTGATTAACTAATCATGTTCGAGCTTGAGGTCGAGCTTTATTCTACGAGTTTACTCTCTGCTTGAGCTTGAGTTTGATTAACTAATCAAGTTCGAGCTCGAGGTCAGTTTGAGCCGACCGACTTGATTAATATAAGAGAGAGAAAATAATATTAATTCAAGCTAATGTTATAATAAGATGACAAATATAGTTGACAAGTGTGAAATAAATTACATGAAATCATTTTATATAAAATATAAAATATATTTTTAAAATAAATTTAATTATTTAAAAATAAAGTTTTGTGCTTGGCTAACTTACACTTATATATGTATTCCTCTCTCTCGCTCCCTCTCTCGCTCTCTCTCTCTCTATCATAATTTGAATAAGTTTTGAATTAAATAAAATTAATATTAAATAATTTTAGTTTAAAAGCAATTAAATTTGTGTGAATTTAAAATTTATGTTACCGACCATTTGGTTGTTGGGCCGTATACTAAGAACATTTTAACAATAAAAGCCCATTACACATCCGACAGCCCATAAACTAATGGATCGTCGTACCCGGTCCAAGTAAAATAACAACAAACACACATTCTGAATTATTGATTTTTAAGACATGAATTTATTGTGTATATTGATTTCTGAACAAGATTTTTTTAATTATATATTATGTAATTTTAAAACTATTTTTTAAAATTTTTAATTGAAAATAACAAAAAATATTAAAAAAAAAACTAATTATCAATGGCATGCTTTAAGATTGGTGCTAACTGGGGGCAGATTCTTTCATGCAGTTGAGTCACTAAGCAATTTGTTTGGATATTTTGGTTTGAAGTATATATTTAATAATAGATAGTTATCTATGGCTACATTTATCTTTCCTTGCATATAATTTTTGGTTTATGGTGTAATATTTATAAATTAATTGGAAGTTATGAAACTATGTGTTTTGAGTTTCGGTTGGATGATTGTAAGGAAATTTATAGAACGCGAGTTTGTTAGATTGGTAACAAGTCGTTAACAATTATGAGATGTACGTTCAATTTTAATATATCGTGTCGATCACGTCCCTTCTAATAAAATGATCTCATTATTTAGAGGTGAGAGAATATAATATGGTGATGATACATTTTTGCCCCTGCTTTTATAAGGGTTATACAGGATATTATAAATATTTTATATATATGCGCCTAATGCTCAGATGCTTTCTGACTCGGTTGGCTGAGCTAGTATGGCTTCATTTCTGGTGGGGCCGGTTTGATTGGCTGGGCTTAGTTGGTGTCGTCATTCAACTGAGCACGGTTGGCTTTAGGTTGACATGATTTGTTCGGTTGGCTAGGCTGGTCGGTGTTGCCAATCAGCTGATCTATTATGGTTGTCGAATCTCTATCCTAGGTGAGGTACTCTTATCCGCAAAGCGACATTGGACTATCGAGCTGAGAATGAATTACCAACACCTGATATATATCTAGCTCCTAAACGATGAGAACCTGAAGGGTAACTATAAGTCTCTTTATTGCATTATTAGTTATTGTTCTCTAATGAGAAGTCCTAGATGTGCCGCGGAATGGTTAACAATATTATAGGGCTGCATCTTTTCCGAGATCAGATAACCGGAAGGTATGTTGCTGCTTTGGTCGGCATTTTTGTAGCGGTTGACTTGGATGCTTATTTGTGTCCTTTCTGACCAAACGTCTCTAA